ATCAACGTATGGTAGCCCAAGACAAATGAACGAGTACTCCCAAGATGCGATGACATACGTGTGTGGAATTATAGATCGCGATCAATCAGCAAGCGATCGTGACGATGTCACAGTATGACTACGATGTTTGATGATCTTTATCTTGTAGCAACGTATGATATATATGGTGCTGTTAGATGCTGGATGTTCAGTTGTAAAAAAGAGGTTTATTATTCTTTGGAATCCACATTATTCTTTGGATTTTGATTACACCAGATAAAATTGAAAATTTCTGGGGAAATACAGAGAAAGATCCAGTATAATGCGAAGTGATGAAAACCAATATGATTCATGGACCTTGCGGACACCACAATCACACTTCGTTTTGTACTATATGTCTGGCAATAAATGCACTGAACACTATCCATGTGCTTTTCTTTCGGAAACGCAAACTGGAAATGATGGATATCCACTCCATCGGCGTAGCTCACCAGACGACAATGACAGAACCTTTATCATTGAATTTAGAGGAGACAATATCGAAGTTGACAACACATGGATCGTACCATATTCGCCAATATTGTCTAATTCACATTCAAACCTCATATCAATGTTGAGTATTGCAGTTTTGTGAAATCGATCAAATATGTTTGCAAGTACGTCACCAAAGAAAGCAACATGACGGTTATTGCCCTTGAACGAGATGAGATCAGCAAATATCAAATGGGTCGATACGTGAACAGCAATGAGGCGTTTTGTGAGATATTTATTTTTGCAATTCATGAACATTTTCCGACTGTTGTGCATCTCGCAGTTCATTTGGAGAAGGTCAAAGTGTGTATTTCAACCCAAAGAATACAATACAACCAACGGAAACACCGCCGAAAACAAAATTGACATTGACGAGCATTTTCTTAATTTGCTTCAGTGACCCGTTTGCGCGAACACGCCTTGACATTAGCCATGGAATGCATCGTCGAAGAAATGGTTACGCAGAAATCAGGGCCAATCAGTAGATTGACATCCAGGTGTGTTCTCAACTAATGCCTTAGGACGAATTTACACAATCCACCCGAAAAACGACGATTGCTTCTACCTTCGGTTGTTATTGATAAATGTACGTGGTTTAACTTCATTTTAGTCATTACGTACTGTGAATGGTACGGTGCGTGAAACTTTTTGAGAAGCATGCCAGCAGTTACAATTGCTGGAACATGATAATCGCTGAAATCAAACGATGGACGATTCGATAGCTGCTTTGCATGCCACTGAAGTTCGCACAATTTTCGCGATGATCATTTCAAAATATCAGCCTTCAAATCCGCATCAATGGTGGGATACGAACAAAAATTACATTGCCGATGACATTTTACATCGTATTCAATAAGCATTGGAAATAGGCGAATTCCGGTTGATACTTCCATGGCTTTGATATCAATTCCACCTGCCTTTTGTCAACTAACTTCAACGAAAAATGAACTCATAACGAATGTTTATGCCAACATTGGCCAAATTAACTAGGATTTCTTGAGTGCACGCCCAATTTTAGCCGCCAAATATACGAAGCCGTAAATTATCCAGTGAAATGTCAAAAATCTTTGGAGAGGCATGGTATGCCGCCGCATTATTTGTACCTCAAAATTGGATATGTCATTATTATGTTTCGCAATCTGCACGCGCCGCAATTTTGTAATGAAACCCTACTGAGTATGCCGCAGCTATCAAGGGGCAGAATGATTGACTCTAGGAATTCCTTTGAGTTTCAACGATTTGCCATTTCAGTTCGAACGTATTCAGTTTCCAGTAAAAAATGCATTTGCGATGACAATAAACAGGACACAAGGATTGTCGCTAGAAGTGTGAAGTATAAATCTGGAAATGCTATGTTTTTCACACGGCATGTTCACGAGTGTACTTTTCTCTGTACTTTTACGCACTGGAACAGAAACCAAAAAATATTGTTTAACAAGCTGAGTTACATTGGAAAAAATTTAGAAAAATAGAGAATAAATAATTTTTAACACAACGTAAATTCAACTTTCTTTTCATTTCAAAACACATAATTTCAGGCAGGACAACGCCTGCGGGGTCAGCTGGTAGTATATAATGTTTAATAAATCAGTATTTTGCAAAAATTCTGAAAATTTGCCATTGGCCTCACCTCTCTTGACGGCTCAAAAAAAATGCTCTCGCCATTGACAGCAAAACTCATTATTGGTTTATCTAAAATAAAAAATAAAACAAAATTATTTTTTTAGTACATTGATAAATCTTGTTATAGGAAAAAATAAAAATAGAAGCTTTTACAGACTTGTCACCTAAAGTGTGGCTTTTTGGTAATATAAAATAAATGTAACAGAAATATTTTAGAAAATGTCGAATTAAGATTAAAGCAAGAAAAAACATTAATTTTGGTTACGCCGAAACTATAATAAGACCCTTCTTAAATAAAAAATATTTCCTACAAGCACATGCCTGTGATCGGTCAATTTGTATCATATGACAGCTAAGTGCAATAGTTCTAAAGAATTTCTTCAGATAGTGTACCGTTACAGGAATATTTTTAGTATACAGACAAATATAGCAGTAGCAATCTAATAGTATTAGATGGCGCTATTGAAATTAAATTCATAAGATTTTTACTAACCAATCCATTTTACATATTTTGATCACCTTTCTGGTAATTTGTGGAGACCATGCCAATAAATGTTCGTCTATTAAAGCAAACCAATCAAACCAATTTCCGAGAAAAAAATTTATTATTATCCCTATGATTTCACATGAGCCAATTGAATTTAAAAGCATTCAATTTCCAATTAGATCGAGATTCACAATAGCAATAAAGATCTCACAAGGCTAAAAGTTGGCTCTTCCTGACTTAGATTTGGATACATCCTGCTTTTCTCACGGACAACTTTATGTGGCTAAAGACGGACTGGCCAAAAATATTGTACTCTCCGTTGCACAGAGAGACTTAGCAAAAACATGAACTATTTTCGATGTATAAACACCAATCAATAAATGTAATTTATTACACATTTTTTCTTCACTCTTCTTCCAATTATAATTACATCCCCTACGAATATATACAAGAATAATATCGATAATTTATAAATAAAATGAAATTTTTTCTATCATCATCCAAATTTATTTTATCTTCTTCAAAGTAACATCCATATATCAGGTGAATACGGTGCTTGCTCAATGATATTTGTTGAGTGAAAATTTAACACAAATACGTTGATTTAAATCTTAAAATTCGACAAACACCACTCAGGTCGACTGGTCGACAGATCGCGCTAATTTTTGGCATAATAATTAAGTTGTAATCACATAGGAAAAAAATGTTCTGTCTTCCATACAAGTAGGACATGGGAGGGGGAAATGATGAATTCCCGATACTTTATTGACAGGGTGTATACTACTAGAGGACCGGTAAACGCTTTACTGTGACTGATACATTGATAGTACTACTAATATTATCTATATAATTTCTATTAGTTTGATTATAACTATTAGTTAAAGAGATATAGCATTTTGGGTGGAGCAACTTGTGATAGTTTAAAAAAAAATTAATCAAAATGCATTTCATGTGTTAATAAGGCATTGGTTTTTGGGGAAAATACTGTTGTATTTAAGCTGTGCATTAGGAAAATCAATCGAGTCTAATTGACAGTCAGTCTAATTGACTACATATTACGAACCGGTTCTCAAGCGTAGAAAGACAAGAAGGTCGGCTGGCAAAGTTATGGCATTAGTCTTTTGGGATGCACGTGGTATAATATTCAACGAATGTTGCCAGTTTTAATCTACTGCACTGCGTATTTGGTTGCAGTTCTATTCTACCATTCCCAATATCTAGCAGTTTTATTATATTTTATGAAGGATAGATTTGAAATAGTAAATACCTATATTTTTCATCGTTTCCGTTTAAATATTGCACTGCTCTGTGCAATGCTTTAAAAAGGTTTCTCAAATTATAATAGACCTTTTCTCAACACTCTAGTTTAATATCGCGTTTGACATGCTTTTGTGAATGAATTTGCGTCCTTCGCCCACGACGAAAATGTCAATGCCATATTTTTTGTGATATTAAATATATCTGACTGGTTCGTCCTAATAAATAGTGCCTGGTTCAGGAGCAATAATCAGTATAACCCATATACTAAGCATGCATGCATATTAAAATTGATGTTCTCCCACATTAGCCCTGTGTTGTTATTTTTTTTTTACTTAATTCTTTCTTTTTTTGAAGTAATAAAATTTTCAATTGATTCTCTTATGAATTTTGACATAACTTGAAAAATAATTTTTATATTAATGAATTGAATTGAATTTTAACATAAAAAGTATTTCATGTCCTTCACCTGGTCTTGGCTACCTTCCCATTCATTTTCAACCAAATCGGTTCAGCCGTTCTTGAGTTATAAATAGTGTAACCAACACGACTTTCTTTTATAGATATACTACTGTGCTCAAATTGAGAAAGGTGAGATTTTAATTTATATTTCGCGTGTATTTCGAATCGGTAAATTTTTTTTGTAAGTTGATAGTACCGTCACGTCAAAATATTCATTAATGACTCGTCGTTTTGAGAGGCTCTAAAAGTGAATTCTTCTATTGTTACTATGTCTGAATTTATTGAACAAAGAAGTGTGATAATGCACCATCTCATACATTTCCATTGGTTATTCGTGATCATTTCGCCACATTTTCATCTAATGTCGTGTCGCAACCACCGCATTCGAATGATTTACCTTCTGTAACTTCTGGCTATTCAGCAAATTCACATGACCACTCCGAAGACACCGCTTTGACTAAATTTTTTTCTTCTTTTAAGTTTAGAGGGGGTTGGTGTTTATGGTATCAATGGAATTACACAGTTAGAAGTAAAAGTTTTTGTTCAATTTGTTTGGCAACCTTAAAAATTGCATAGCAACTTTTGAATATCTTCAATTCACACTTAAATATCTCTGTATATCTAACAAACACAACAATCTTATCATTTTTTCTTTACACAGAAAATAACAGAATTGAGAATGTCTCGCAATTCGGCAATTTTCCGGTGCCAATGGCACGCTTACCAAACGATGATTTCGGCTGTATTACGTCTAATAGAGATCACAACTCTTTTTCACCGTCATCTAACTCCTCAACTGCTTCAGGAAACACCAGTGTACGCAGCAAAAGCTTTAATAGTGTCAATATTTTTAACTTTCAAACTATTAACGATGATAAAGATGCTTCATCATCAGTCTTGTCGGGAGGTAGCCCCCCCGTCATGCCCTCAGTTGTATTTAAATGCAACAATTGTGACTTCTTTGCACATTCTAAAACAGAAATGGAACTGCACCTGAGTTCAGTACATCCTCAAACTGAGCCAGATTACATTAGCATACCAACGAACTCTGCTGCCATAGAAGCATTTCAAGCGGCTGTAGCGGCAGCGACAGCAGCAGCCTCTGCGGTGACTGCCACCCGTGCTCCTAGTAATAAATCATATTCAGAAAATGATAATTTCCCCACTATTGTTAAAAGAGAGCGTCTCTGTACCCCAGAAGATGAGGAAAACGTAAAGTTCGCAGATGTACAAAACACAATGTCGCTACATAATGTGTCGACAGTTACACCGTGGCTCACATCGCCAACGAATACAATAAGTAATAACGAAACTTCAGTAGCTATGGTTCAACCCAAATCAATTCATAATGTGTTACGTGAATTGGAAAAGACCGCTGAACAGGAAGAACAGCTAATTGAGGATACAACTGGAGTCAACGCATTGGTTGAAAGTACCAAAAAATTTTCCGGAGAACCAGTCAATGTTCAGTGCCCCCTCTGTACAGATACATTTGATAACAAACAGACATTGGAAATGCATTTGATGAATGTACATAGTGTGAATCGCGATGGTTTATCACGTCTCCTTCAACTAGTAGACAATAGCGCTTGGGATTTAAACGGTAAAACCTCAATAACCCTTACTGTAGCTAAAGAGTGTAAAGGCTCAAATAACGAAACCGAAACAACAACTGAACAAACTATCACTGGTAATTTTAATATTAAAGCATCGACAGAATTAGACTTAACGCTAATGGAAGTTTCAAATGACACGCCTTTAAATCTCAATGCTTCACATACCTCTACTTACATGCATTCCATGGAATCGCTAAATAATAATAAATTATCATGTGAACAATGTGGTTCGAAGTTCAAGCATGAACTACAATTGTTGCAACATGCGCAAAAAATGCAACATTTCAAAATCTTGCCAAATGGTGATCACCGTTGTTTGGCTGCTAGTCATCTTAGTCGACCGTGCCAATCAACATTTCCCACTCAAGCTGCAATGATCATCCATTATAAAAATACTCACACTAGCTTGGTCATATCCGAGCGACATGTGTATAAATACCGATGTAAACATTGTTCACTTGCATTTAAAACACAAGAAAAACTATCTACCCATTTGCTATATCACACTATGCGCGAAGCCACCAAATGCATACTCTGCCAACGAAATTTTCGTACTACTCAAGCGCTACAAAAGCACATCGATCAAACACATCATAGTAGCGGCGATCAACATGTCGCCAGTAACAATCCATCGATAGCATTAAGTTGTAGCGGCCGTGGATCGCCAGCATTACAGATGAGTCACGTCCAAAACACAACCCAATTAAATGCAGTTATATCAGAAAATTCAACTAAAAACCAAGACATCAATGGTAAATGCGTGTTCTTGTATATTAAACTTATCTAGCAGTATAAATACTTATTATTCGTATTAAATTACTCCTGTACCCGCCAATATGTTTTTTCAAATACGTCTTATCTTCCTATTTCATTGAAAAGTACACTTTATCTGTCTCTTAACTTACTTTTTTAAATTAAATTCAAATTTCGCAGCTCGTGAATCACCCCCAATGACACCGAAAGCAAATGAATCTCCCAACGTCGCGCCTTCTCCATTACCAGCTAACATATTGCAAGACCAGCAGCAACAACAACATGTTGCTGCTTTCACCGCTGCGTTATTAAATCAACCATTACAGCAACAACAGCATATCAGCGGTGATGAACTAACAGAGAGCGGTGGTCATCTGATGCAGCATTTACAAATGAAACCGCGTAATAGCCTCTTAACACAAAAATATCTTCACCAGCAGAATCTTCAAAACCTTCAACAATTGCCACAATTGACTGCAGCAGCATCTACATCCGGCTTGCAATTGAACCCTGTCGAGATGTTTAATTTAATGCAGTTTCATCACATTATGTCAATGAACTTTATGAATCTTGCACCGCCACTTATATTTGGGGTCGGCACTAATTCTGGATCTGGTGGCAACGTTGATTTGTTAACATCCAGTCACATACCTAAAGTTACTCACAACACAAGTGCCAACGCACTTCAATGTGGGAACGATATGCCTGTACCATGCACATCAGTGTCGCCACGAACGGACCTAATAGGTACATTGCAGCAACATCCTCAGTCCCAATCGCAGCAACCTGCACCAACAAATACCGTTCAGGTAAAAATAATAGAATATAAAATTAATGTCGATTTTTGTAAAAAATGTTCTTTCTTGTAATTTATTCTTTTAGTATATAGCAAATCGAAAATGTAATGCATAAAGAAAATAATAATTTATTATACTATTACTATTTAATTCCTATAACTTTTCCTTAAACACCCTCCACCATCAAGAGTTGCTAAATATGTGCATACCTGAATGTTAAGAAGAAATTTACATTTTACCCGATTTAGTAAAAGAGTAGAATAAGTCAGTTCACAGAAATGTAAGTAATGTTATAAGTAGATTATCATAATTGTTTACAGTGTTTCTCAGTTACTTATTTGTCACAAACCAAAAAATTTAGCAGGAAAATTAATGTATTTTTATAAATTACTATAATTTGAAACAAAAATTGACTATCTGTGACTTCATCGCATAATTGGACAAAAGTTATGAACGAGTATGTGCAATAAAATTATACAAAAATGAGCTATTTATAATGCTTTTTACATTAATTTCATTTCTTTTAGCAATATGTATATTTAAATCTTATCACGTAACATTTCTTTTCATCCAACAGACAACGTTTTGTTAGTTCTTCTTAGTTTGCTGTAGATAACAAAGACAATTTAAGGTTACTTTATAAGGAAAAAAGAGGTTTCGATCCAGTAACAGGTCCTGCGGATCCGTCTATCAGACTTTATGATTTACCCGGATTATGAACGTATAATTTCATAAAATAAATTTTTTTATTATTTGGTTTCTCTTTCAACAAGCGAATATAAAAAACCGCTCTCGCTTTCTCTTGATTCCCTCAAAGGTTCTGATTCCACGGTATGCCAGTTTCATTTTCGTTTATATTATGACGTACCTTACATTTACTTAGAATTCGCGGTTATTAGTGTAAAAAACTAAAACACAGTTTATAATTTTCTTATTTCAGATGGGAAGTAATCAGAAACGTGCACGGACGCGTATCACTGACGACCAGCTAAAAATTCTGCGAGCCCATTTTGATATTAATAATTCACCAAGCGAAGAAAGCATAATGGAAATGTCACAAAAAGCAAATTTGCCAATGAAGGTATAACTTATTTCATAACTTTAGTGGTAAAGTCATATTGTTTATTTCGAAACTCACAGAAATCTCCTTAGAGCTATAACTTGGTACACACTCAGTATTATTTATTGAAAAAGCGCTAAAATAACTTATATTAAAACCTTGAGTACCCACTCTGTGTTCTTAATTACAAAATAATTTGTATTCTCAATTCCCAAAAAACATAAACTTAGCCTTTTATGACATACTTTTGAACCGATAGCTCTGAGAATTTTTTTCTGTGGGTTTTAGTAGATATATTCTGTTGCAAGAAGGAAGAAAATTAAACAAATTTGTTGCATCACTTAAAGGTCGTCAAGCATTGGTTTCGGAATACGTTGTTTAAAGAACGTCAAAGAAACAAAGACTCCCCCTACAACTTTAATAATCCACCATCTACAACCCTAAATTTAGAAGAATACGAACGCACTGGACACGCAAAAGTTATGCCGCTGAGCGAGGATTTACCTACGTCATCGGTAAGTTTTACTACAACAATATAGTACATATATATTAGTATATATGAAATTACTCCGAATATATTGAATGCCATATGCCGTTTTAAAACTAGTGTTTCTGTAAATTCGGTCTTTTTACAGCATAACTCTATGCACCAACAACAAAAGCAAAATATGCATGTATCTAATTCCAAAAACAATTTTAAAGAAAAACCAACCTCTATGTCGGAAATAAGTGGCGATTCCTCGTTATTAATTGAAATCAAAACTGAACCATTCGATGATAATATTGAGCCACACATTACAACTCCAGGGAGTCCACATCGTCAACAGCAACCACAAGAGCAAAGCCAACGAGAACAGCATAAGAAAGACGAGAAAGATTTATTGAGCACGTCATCGACATTGCTGCTCAGTAAACAACAACAGTATTTATCCGCATTGCCAGCGACTGAACATCAACAACAACTTCTTGAAGTGCCAGAGAACACAGCAGTGGAAACCGCTGCTGTTACGCCGTTGCAGCAGCATAATCACCAACAACAACATTTGTCTAGCCAATCAAATCAAAATATTCACCAGCAACAATCACAGCATATCAACCTATATAGTTATGAAACCAAATCAGAAAGCGGGAGTTCCGACATCCTCTCCAGACCTCAGTCACCAAACAATAGTTCCGCTGTTGTAGCCACACACTACGCCAGCATTAATGAGTTAATAAACCAACAATTGGATAATTTGCCGCTCGGCCAAAACAACAGCAATATAAATGCTGCCAACATTCACGGTAACAAGATGGGTCCGCCGAAAAACTTTCAAACCAGCAAATCATTCGATAAAAATTCGCCGTCTTCTCAGTTTGACACCAATTCGAATTCATCGAATGCCTCATCCACATCTAGCGGAAAGCGTGCAAATCGCACACGCTTTACGGACTATCAAATTAAGGTACTACAGGAATTCTTTGAGAATAACTCCTATCCAAAGGATAGCGATTTGGAGTATTTAAGTAAGCTATTATTGCTTTCTCCACGAGTTATTGTTGTCTGGTTTCAGGTAAGAAATTGTTCTGGCTAAAATTATAACTTACTATAAAAACATTAAGCGACTGTGAAATCACATAGTGCGTAAACTCTATTCATAAAAAGTGACCGCAGAGCTCATATATTTAACAAATATTCTTACACAAGGTGAGTTCCAAAGTAAAAAGGGCTTAAAATAAATGGTTTTTTCGGCAAAACCAATTTTTTTTTATTCAAAATAGCCTTCTTCTGCTTCAATACAGCTTTTTGCTCGGGCCAAAAGCATATTGAACGAGTGTTTTAGTTCGTGGGTGGTATGGCCACCAGTATGCCGGTGCAGGCCTTTTGAATGGCCTCTACGTGTGCATAACTTTTTCCTTTCATGGGCAAATGCATTTTTCCGAAAAGGAAGAAGTCGCACGATACTATATCAGGTAAATACGGGGAGTGGTTAATGGTTAAAATGTGAATTTTCGTCAAATAATCGTCTTACGATTGTTAGATTCTAATTTTTGGTCGTCAGTCAATGTGTGCAAAACAAACCGTGCACACATCTTTCGTAAGCCCAAATGTTCGGTCAAAATGTGATAAATTGATGCTTTTTAGATGTTCAATTCCATTTCCATGAATTTCAATGATGATTTCGGCTGATTTTTGATGAATTCACGCACAGTTTCGGTGGAATTTCCTGTGATCCCGGATTTTGATTGGCTCACATGTTGATCGTCATTTATGTCCTCATGACCACTTTGAAAACGTTGAAACCACTCGTGCACTCTGCTATGGGTTAGGCAATCATCGCCATAAACTTATATCGTCAATTGAAGCATTTCGGTAAAAGTTGTACTAATTTAAAACAAAATTTAATGTTGGCTCTTTGTTTGAAGCTCAATCGATAAAGATAGCAGATTCCAACGCGCCAGTCGACATACAGATAGCACCTCAAGGGGGCGCTAGATTCAAAAAGTTTACTTTGGAACGTACCTTGTATGTTTTCTTTGCACCTAATGTTGGAAAACGCTAACAGCACATTGTTTGTGCGCATTTCTCAACTCTAAACTTAGTCCTACCATAAATTCTGTTACAAGTTGTTAAAACGAAGAAATATTTTTTTTCATAAAGTAATCTTGTTTTATAATGCATATAATGCGTCTTTAGAAGTTTTTGTATAGAGTTTGTTACTTTGCATATAGAATTACATACAATAAAATTGTTATTGTTGAACTTTTTATCGCTGAATGCATTGTAGGCCTTGTAACAGGATTTATGACGTTGTAGTAGTAGTAAATGTATGCATGATGCACTCTGTATAGCTTGTGCTGTTTGTTGCTGCTCACCATGTGAGACTTCAAGTTCAATCCCTTGGGTTCTTATAGCGTTTTTGTTTTAATAGGCAAATAATTTTTTCACTGTATTATAATAATAATTAATGTATAACATAGCCACAGCGAGGCTAGCATTCTCTTCTTAAGAAGCATTCAGTTTTGTTCATTAAATCAATAATTGAAAATTATAACATTTTCCAACCCTGAACTTTGGCCTTTTGAGTCAATTATAGGTATGTAATCTAGAAAATGTGACATGACCAAAATTACTAATTATTTTATAACGAAAGTAACAAACTAAAATTTAAACCTGGATCTAACATCCACTTATACCTTTTTAAACATACTCCTATCCATATATTCTCTTTTAATTATTCTTATTTTTTAGAATGCTCGCCAAAAACAGCGGAAAATTTATGAAAATCAACCAAATAACTCACTTTACGAAACCGAAGAGAAAAAACATAATATTAACTACGCCTGCAAAAAGTGTAATATGACATTTCAGCGCTATTACGAGTTGATACGCCACCAGAAAAATCATTGCTTTAAAGAAGAAAATAACAAAAAATCGGCCAAGGCACAAATAGCCGCAGCACAGATCGCACAAAATCTCAGCTCAGAAGACTCCAATTCCTCGATGGATATAAATAATAGCAGTGCGTATCAATTACATCATCAACATATTTCTAATGCTGGAGCAACAGCGGTGTTGTCAAGTAATGCCAACGTTTCCAGCACATCACCCAGCAGCGCAGCTCCTGACCTTACATCGCCACAGCACTTATTTGGTAAATCGTCAATGTCAATGACTGATTTTAGTCCATCCACTACACCCACTCCGCCACAAACACAACGTGAGCGTAGCGATAGCAGTGAATTGCTGCCGCAAGGCCCAGTGCACAAGTCAAAATTCGAATGTGACAAATGCAAATTACAATTCAGTTACTACGAACATTTTCGCGAGCATCAGTTATTACATCTAATGAATCCTAGCTTATTTAGCACACAAATCACAAACATACCAGAGGCTTATGGTTCATTTGGCAGCATATTGCAAAGTTTACAGCAGGTTGCAGCTGCCAGTGCCACGCATCAACAGCACCACCAATTCCTAGAACAACAAGACCAACCACCCGCAAAAAAACGTAAGTGTTCTGAAACATCTTCAACAACAGATGAAGTGCCAGCAATTTGTGGCTCTGGTGATGGTGAAATCAGCAGCTCTGTCTCATTTTCAAAAAGTAAAAGATACGATTTTTTATATCAGTATTTTATGCTAAACGAAAGCAACAATGAATTGAAGCAACAATTTCAAGCACAACACAAAAAATCACATGAACCAGAAATCGAAATGGAATATTTATCAAACTTTTACCATCAAAGTGAGTTACGAAAACGTAGTAATTATGATTTCTTGTATCAATATTATCAAAAAAATGAACACAAGCAAATGAGTGCTTTGCCGTCCCAAGCGGGATTTTTCGGTAGTGAGAAGCCCAATATAGATGTTCTACTACAGTACTATCAACTGAATGAATCAAAAAAGTTTTTTCAGTTAAATGCCTCGAACCAAGAAATAAATGACCACACGGCAGCGTCGCCAATATCGACATCACAATACCAACATGTAAATAATCCGATACCAATATCGTCTAGTGACCATACACCCACACACAGAGTTGATCGGTATGATATAACCGATATGAGTTCGTTGAAAAACTCTTTGGATGTCCTTAATAGTACTATTCATTTTCCAGATTACGATAATGACAACAACGACCACGAAACAAGTAGTAATGGTTGTGGTATGGATGTTGACGACGCTGAAATTTTTAATGATACCGATGATCATATTAATGACAATAACCAAAAATCGAATGAAATTAATGGTCACAAAAGCCAAATAAACGTAGTGAAAAGCAGTAACGATACTGATAACAAGAGTTATCAGCAAGTAGCTAATAATATAGCGAAAATGGATCAAATTAATAAACTTGCTACTAACCTGCAATCTCCATCTTCTTATGGCAATGATCAACATAAGCTCACGAATTTAAGTAAATCTCTGGCCAGATGTGTAACAAATCAAAAAGATAATCTGACAAAGCGTAAAGCATCAAATGTGTCATCAAAAACAAAATCAACAACAACTACCAGCTTTAACAATGACCATATTGATAATTTAAATGATTTTCTTCATGTTAATCAAAAATCCGAATTCAAAGAAAAAAGTAAACTGCAGCAGCATTATAACGATTTACTGCAAGCGCAAAATGAAACCAACGGCCTTGGAAATAATGAATTAGCCCTACAAACAATGGATAAGCGACAGTTACCAGAGACTCCAATATCATCACCGAATTCCATTACAATTTCAAATAATAAACCTATCGTTGGACCATCGAACACTACAACAAACACAGTCACTGGTATTACCGAAAAACAACAAAGTAAACGTTTACGCACTACAATACTGCCAGAGCAATTAAATTTTCTATATGAATGCTATCAAAACGAATCGAACCCAAGTAGAAAAATGCTTGAGGAGATCGCAAAAAAAGTTAATCTTAAAAAACGGGTTGTACAAGTAAGTGTGCTTTTAAAATTCCAAATCGAGACATCGCATTAATAAGTCCAACATTGCAACGATGAAACACATTTCTTCATATTTCACATATTTCGAGTAGTCTAGGAGAAATAATCTGCATAAATGTTCGAATGTATATGTGTATATGTTCACTTTTAAGTTCACACGATGTTTTCGCTCATCTAATTGTTATCTGTGTCATTCACGTTTCTAAAGGAAACAAACAAAAATTTTACTTCGTGTGCGTTGTGCATGCAAAAGTATGGTACTCCATTTTTGAACTGATCAGAGTATATTAAGTTTACCACGAAGTTTGTAACACCCAAAAGGAAGGTCAGAAACCCTAAAAAATATACGAAAATATGTAAATAATCCGCCTGTTTGTCTGTACATACGCGAACTAGTCCTTTCGTTCTTGAGATATCAATCTGAAGCTTTGAACTCGTGCTTTTCTCTACAATACAAGATATCTTCAAGAAAAATGGCGTGGACTGTTTTTCAAGACAAGAGCACAATACATTTCCAGATCGGACAACTAATGCATATCGCTATCATACAAACAGAACAACCATAATAAGTTATTGTTTGGAAGACACTTTTATTTGACAAAATAACGCTACAATCTCTGAATAAATTAAGACTACATACAAGATAAATTTTATTTGAATATACAAAGAACACAAAAATAAATGAAAATGTGGGTAGAAAATTTTACACTAATAGTAATTCGGTCTTGTGGCCAGTGCAATAGAAAAAAGGATCTAAATGTTTCGTTCCATTTCTAACTGACATAAATCTAATATACACATATCTGACATATGTATATCATAAGCATAGTATGAGAATGTTCTCTTGAACATACTGAGTTTAAAAAGATATCCTTATCTAACACGCACTAACGAACTAAAGTTCTAGGTTTTTCCTGAATTACTCAAATAACATGGACACGTCCTCGTATGAAGGTATGTTTGTTTTTTATTTCTGGATTAATATCATCTTCTTTAATTGCGTAGACACTGCTTACGCGGTTATAGCCGAGTTACCAACAGCGCGCCAATCGTTTCTTCTCTTAGCAGTTCGGCGCCAATTCGAGACACCAAGTGCAGCCAGGTCCTTATCCACCTGATTTCTCCAACGCAGTAAAGGTCTTCCTCTTCCTCTGCTTCCTCCAGCAGGTACTGCGTCGAATACTTTCAGAACTGGAGTGTTTTCATTCATACGACACGTATTTTAATTCGCTGAACTATGTCAATGTCGTCATATTATTCGTATCGCTCATCCTTCCATCGAATGCGACATTCTCCTATGCGCAAAGAACCATGAATCTTCCAAATACCTTTCTCTCGAAAACTCATATCGTCGACTCATCAAACGTTGTCATCGTCCATTCCTCTGCACCATTTAGCAGGACGAGAATAATGAGTGCATTATAGTGTTTGGTCTTTGTTCGTCGAGACTTGACCTTACTGCTCAATTGCCTACTCAGTCGGAAGTAGCACCTGTTGGCAAGACTCGTTATGCGTTGGATTTCCATCCTGACATTGTTGTTGGTGATAATACTAGTTCCCAAATTGAGCAAATTTCCTACGAATTCGAAGTTTTGACTATCAACAGTGTCGTTGGAGCCCAGTGTGGCAACTGTTTGTTTGATGACAGGAGATATTTCGTTTTGTCCTCGTTCACTACCTGACTCATTTGCTTGGCTTCCTTATGTAATCTGGAAAAAACAGAACTTACGCCGTGGATGATGTCGATAGCATACGCCAGCAGCTGTACACTCTTATAGAATATTGGACTTGCTCGAATAAGCTCTGCAGCTCGAACTATTTTCTCCATACATTCTTGTCTGAAACCTCTTTTGGCAGTTTTCGATCGGCTCGGAGATGTCTTTCCCGATCCTGACGGAGCTTTTGGTGTTGCTCAACGTAATACGGCTGTGTAGTATTAGTTTTGCGGGGATACGCAATTCAGACATACCGGCATAGAGGTAGCTTTAAAGGTTACCAAAGAGGTGGTGTGTGTCGATCTTCTTCTCATGGATCTTTTCCAAGATTTGGCGCATGGTGAATATCTGATCAGTTGTTGATTTGCCAAGCCTAAAGCCACACTGATAAGGTCGAATCAGTTTGTTGACGGTGGGCTTTAGTCTTTCACACAATACGCTTGATAGAACTTTATATGCGATGTTGAGGAGGTTTATCCCACAGTATTTGGCGCAGATTGTGGGGTGTTCCCTTTTGTAGATTGCTCCGCATATTCCACAAAGAAGCTTATGCATTCTCATTATCAATACTTCGCCGCCGTATATGAATAGGTCGGCTGGAAATATATCTGCTCCCGCCCCTTTGTAGTTCTTCAGACGGGCATTTGCTTTTCAAACTTTTTTATGGTCGGGCAACGTTTGCTCCAAAGTCATCGATTGGGGAACCGGGCTCGACATATTCTGGTATTATGCTTTCACTGCCATTCAGCAGGCTGGAGAAGTGTTCCCTTCATAATTTTAGTATGCTTTTGGCATCAGTTACTAGATCACCTCTGGGGGTCTACAAGAGTATGCTCTGGTCGTGAAACCTTCTGTTAGTCGTCGTATTTTTTCGTAGACTTTTCGAGCCTTACCCCTATCAGCCAGCTTGTCAAGCTCCTCATATTCACGCATTTGGTCCTCTCTCTTTTTCTGTCTACAAATGCGTCTCGCTTCCGTCTTCAACTTTCGGTAGCTATCCCATCCCTCAAGTGTTGGGTATGATCGTAACTTTGCGAGGTAAGCAGTCTGTTTTCTCTCCGTGGCGACACGGCACTCCTTATTGTACCACCTATTATTCTGCATTTTACGAAAACCAATAGTTTCGGTTGCAGCTGTAAATGGCGTCCCGAAGTTCCCTTATGTCGAGTAAAAAATCGTTCGATTGTCTGTTGTAATTGAAGCTCCTCGACGTCGAACCTGTTTGCTGACGTGCGTTTTTTTCTGCACAGAGGCGAGTGCGAATCGTGGCTGCAACAAGATAGTGGTCCGAGTCGATGTTAAAAGCCCGGAGCGTACGCACGTTTAAAATACTGAAGACGTGTGTTTCGTCTAACACAACATGATTGAAGGCATCCTTGGTCACATCATCCTTCTCTTCCTTTATATGGCCACTGTAGTAAAGGCACAAGGACCAATTCGATTCAGTTCTTGTCCCTTCCATAGCATTGCATGGACGGCGGTGATGTCAGACTTTACTCTTTCGAGGACACCAACCACCTGGACAGCGACATCTTCCCAATTAAGGGACCGGACATTCCAAGTGCATGCCTTTAATTCGTTGTCCTTAATGCGTTTGCATTGGCCGTCATTTATTTACATCCACCACGTCCCAAAGCCAGTGTACAACGCTGTGAAAGGGATATTCATATTTTCATTTCAGCTCGCCTTCAAACGGATGTTTGGTTATCCAGAGGATACTTGATCGAAGACTGAAAGTCGTAAGATGCTTGAACCATATGTAAATAATCGTTTCTGTGAATGGCAATCAGAGAACTTTCCTCACATTCCAGGTGAATGCTCTCAAATGGGAGTTACGTATCCGAGGCCGTTGTTTCGTTTTCATTGATAGAGTTGAAGTTAAAGCAATTCGACTTTAGATTAAGCAAACCTTTTTTTTGATTTTTCAGTCGAAGCTTCTTGAAGTTAAATTGAGTTATTGCTAACAAAAGGATGAATAATTATTAAAATGTATATTCGTTTCGATTTATATAAGGATGATAAAAATATTTGGGCCAAAAGTGATAAAAAAAAATTTTCGTGATCACTTTAATGCATTGGAACTTTCTAACAGCAAGTAAAACAACGTATATTATATCGACTATTTCTGTTCTGTTCGGTTCGGTTCCTTAATTCTATTTTTATTATCTTCAAATTGTACATTGTCCGGTTTCGGAATTTGTCTCCACGAGCTCAAGAAATTTCACCTTCTTGCATTTGTACAAAATAACTGATTAAAATTATGTGTAAAATACTAAATACCCATGTTCTACTTTATGTCTAAATAAACACAATGTTCATTCACAAACGCTTGGTAACAGTTGTGCCTCTTTGATATTTTAGTCAACCGCAATGGAACAGAGTTGAAAAACCATAATACCAAGAATGATGTATATAGTATAAGATTACATCTATAATTTACCTTTACTAATTTCAGTTAGTCTGTGACAAATGTTACAAAAACAATTACACTATGCCGCCATCTTGTGAGGTAATTCTTTATATATGAGAAGAGATGCAGCATGTAAACAGTAAACCAAAACAAAAAGACTCTAGAGACTAATTCGTGAAATAAACTTTATTTATTAGTTGTTGCTTAACAAATTTAAGCGAATAGAATAATAATGCGCGCAAATATTTAATTATATATGTATATTAGAATTATATTATAATTCTCAAAAAAATATAATTCTTTATTCTCTTCTAGTATTACTATTCATTCATACATTTGAGATCAACTTATTCAAACCAAACCATAAAGATATCATTGTCGATGGTTGCCTTTATACCAGAAATATCGGTCTACATGTATGTTTTATTGAAATTAAATTGGCGTGTTTTGCTGATAGTAGTGTAGCCTGGTGACAGCAATGGTTCAGTACTTTACCAGCCCTCATATACCTAATAATCCATCTTATAGTTGACTTTATGATTAACAAAATTAAATAAAGATTTTATTTTACATAAACAAAAAATTTGATGCTGAAGAAAGAGAAACGTCTCCACGGATTACTTCCAGATACATGGTTGACTTTTATATACATATACTTATATTTTCGTTAATCCATAATAAAAGTTAATAATATGCCATGGTTATAGCTAATTCACTATTTCAACAACTAAAAGCTTTGAGCGAGAGTATCCGTACGCTACATAATATTCGAGTAGAACATATGTACATATCTCAATCCTACTAAAACTGAGAAAAGCGATGTTTCCAATAATGTTTCATTTTACTACTACACTATGATGGGAAAAT